CAGATACTGTAAAGTCTACTGACAACAGACACTGTAAAGTCTATTGACAACAGTTACTGTAAAGTCTACTGACAACAGACACTGTATAGTCTACTGACAACAGATAGTGTATGGTCTACTGACAACAGATACTGTATAGCCTACTGACAACAGACACCGTAAAGTCTACTGACAACAGACACTGTATAGTCTACTGACAACAGATAGTGTATGGTCTACTGACAACAGATACTGTATAGCCTCCTGACAACAGACACTGTATAGCCTACTGACAACAGACACTGTAAAGTCTAATGACAACAGACACTGTAAAGTCTACTGACAACAGTTACTGTAAAGTCTACTGACAACAGACACTGTAAAAGTCTACTGAAAACAGTTTCTATTAGGTCTACTGACAACAAAGTCTACTGACAACAGACACTGTATAGTCTACTGACAACAGACACTGTAAAGTCTACTGACAACTGACACTGTAAAGTCTACTGACAACAGATACTGTAAAGTCTACTGACAACAGACACTGTAAAAGTCTACTGAAAACAGTTTCTATTAGGTCTACTGACAACAAAGTCTACTGACAACAGACACTGTATAGTCTACTGACAACAGTTACTGTTAAGGCTACTGACAACAGTTTCTGTTAAGTCTACTGACAACAGACACTGTAAAGTCTACTGACAACAGTTACTGTTAAGTCTACTGACAACAGTTTCTGTTAAGTCTACTGACAACAAAGTATACTGACAACAGTTACTGTAAAGTCTATTGACAACAGTTACTGAAAAGTCTACTGACAACAGACACTGTAAAGTCTACTGACAACTGATACTGTATAGCCTACTGACAACACACACTGTAAAGTCTACTGACAACAGACACTGTATAGTCTACTGACAAATTGACAACAAACACTGTAAAGTTTTCTGACAAAAGACACTGTATAGTCTACTGACAGCAGTTACTGTTAAGTCTACTGACAACAGTTTCTGTTAAGTCTACTGACAACAGTTACTGTAAAGTCTATTATAGACAACAAACACTGTAAAGTTTTCTGACAAAAGACACTGTATAGTCTACTGACAGCAGTTACTGTTAAGTCTACTGTCAACAGTTTCTGTTAAGTCTACTGACAACAAAGTCTACTGACAACAGTTACTGTAAAGTCTATTGACAACAGATACTGTAAAGTCTACTGACAACAGACACTGTAAAGTCTAGTGACAACAGATACTGTATAGCCTACTGACAACAGTTACTGTTAAGTCTATTGACAACAAACACTGTAAAATTTTCTGACAACAGACACTGTAGAGTCTACTGACAACAGGTACTGTTAAGTCTACTGACAGCAGACACTGTAAAGTCTCCTGACAACAGATACTGTTAAGTATACTGACAACAGACACTGGATAGTCTACTGACAACAGGTACTGTTAAGTCTACTGACAGCAGTTACTGTTAAGTCTGCTGACAGCAGTTTCTGTTAAGTCTATTGACTACAAACACTGTAAAGTTTCCTGACAACAGACACTGTATAGTATATTGACAACAGTTACTATAAAGTCTACTGACAACAGTTTCTGTCAAGTCTACTGACAACAAAGTATACTGTCAACAGTTACTGTAAAGTCTTCTGACAACAGACACTGGATAGTCTACTGACAACAGGTACTGTTAAGTCTACTGACAGCAGACACTGTAAAGTCTCCTGACAACAGATACTGTATAGCCTACGTTAAGTCTACTGACAACAAAGTATACTGACAACAGTTACTGTAAAGTCTACTGGCAACAGACACTGTAAAGTCTCCTGACAACAGATACTGTTAAGTATACTGACAACAGACACTGGATAGTCTACTGACAACAGTCACTGTAAAGTCTAGTGTCAACAGATACTGTATAGTCTACTGAAAACAGTTACTGTTAAGTCTGCTGACAGCAGTTTCTGTTAAGTCTTCTGACAACAGACACTGTATAGTCGACTGACAACAGTTACTGTAAGGTCTACTGACAACAGATTCTGTATGGTCTACTGACGACAGATACTGTAAAGTCTAGTGACAACAGACACTGTAATGTCTACTGACAACAGATTCTGTTAAGTCTATTGACAACAGTTACTGTTAAGTCTACTGACAACAGTTTCTGTTAAGTCTATTGACAACAAAGTATACTGACAACAGTTACTGTAAAGTCTATTGACAACAGATACTTTATAGCCTACTGACAACACACACTGTAAAGTCTACTGACAACAGACACTGTATAGTCTACTGAAAACAGTTACTGTTAAGTCTATTGACAACAAACACTGTAAAGTTTCCTGACAACAGACACTGTATAGTCTACTGACAACAGTTACTGTTAAGTCTATAGACAACAAACACTGTTAAGTCTACTGACAACAAAGTCTACTGACAACAGTTACTGTTAAGTCTACTGACAACAATTTCTACTGACAACAGATATTGTAAAGTATTCTGACAACAAACAGTTACTGTTAAGTCTATTGACAACAAACACTGTTTAGTCTTCTGACAACATAGTCTACTGACAACAGTTACTGTAAAGTCTATTGACAACAGTTGCTGTAAAGTCTACTGACAACAGTTACTGTAAAGCCTACTGACAACAGTTACTGTAAAGTCTACTGACAAGAGTTACTGTAAAGTCTACTGACAACAGTTACTCTAAAGTCTACTGACAACAGTTACTGTAAAGTCTACTGACAACAGACACTGTAAAGTCTACTGACAACAGACACTGTAAAGTCTATTGACAACAGATACTGTATAGTCTACTGACAACAGACACTGTAAAGTCTACTGACAACAGGCCCTGTAAAGTCTATTGACAACAGATACTGTATAGTCTACTGACACCAGACACTGTAAAGTCTACTGACAACAGACACTGTAAAGTCTACTGACAACAGTTACTGTAAAGTCTATTGACAACAGTTACTGTAAAGTCTACTGACAACAGACACTGTAAATTCTACTGACAACAGACACTGTAAAGTCTAGTGACAACAGTCTGTAAAGTCTACTGACAACATATACTATAAAGTCTACTGACAACAGATACTGAAAAGTCTACTGACAACAGACAATGTATAGTCTGCTGACAACAGAGTCTGTAAAGTCTACTGACAACAGATAGTTTAAAATCTAATGACAAGAGAAACTGTTACGACTACTGACAACAAATAGTTTAAAATCTAATGACAAGAGAAACTGTTACTACTACTGACAACAGATAGTTTAAAATCTAATGACAAGAGAGACTGTTTTGACTACTGACAAGAGAAGCTGTAATGGCTGAAGATTTGACTCATCAGCAGTTCTAATGTACATACAAATTACCAAAGAGACCGAGTCAGATACATTTACATAGGAAAAGACTATGTGAACTTCTTTTGACCTATATATATATATATATACGACTTACGAAGGAAAAGCCATTTATCATTTACAAAATATGTTTGATTAAATGTATAAATGGAAATAAAGGGATTCAACTTCCCGTTTTGTAATTTTCAGTTTCGATTTACCAATGGTAATCACAGACTCGCTTGTTTATAAATAGATTAATGGCTCCTCCCATCGAATATTTCTCTGGCAGAGATATGGTTAGGATACATAGATTAATGGCTCCTCCCATCGAATATTTCTCTGGCAGAGATATGGTTAGGATACATGGCAGAACACCGACACCTGCACAACACTACAGAATTATTAGAGTAAAACAATTGTGAAATATTCAACACTTGCACTAGTTTATAATCTGTGTGTAAACCCAGAAACTGTGTCATGTATTCAATTAGCATCGAGATATTTGTTACAACAAGGAAAGTATATATAGTATAATAGCATAGGACAAATATGTGAGGATCAATGTCACTAATGGTTCAAGGAATACGCTTGTTTCTACCTCATAAGGAGATTTTTAGTTATGTGTAGGAGGTCAGTTCTGCCATACGCTGATAGAAAGCACCTTGTTTACACAATGAAGTGTTGTCATCACTTGGGAATGATATAATTCTATTCTTCAATCACCTTGAACCTAAAAAGACTGGTTGCTTAAGGAAATTAAATGAAGAAAAAAAAACCATCAATTTCCCCATTATTATCATACAATCACACTTAATTAAGCATGGACAGAGAACTAACGCAATTGTGAATCTTTAAATTTTTGAAATACTCAATTAATACCCAGCTGTTTTACATATGAAATCAACATGATTCCCTGCATCTTGTTTTTGGTTCAAACTCAATGAACTCATTTAGTGGAACACAGTTTTATAAAAATATGACAGTTTACACTACGGTTTCTCAGATAACTTCATAGACATAGCAAGGAAAAATTTAAAAGGTATCCAGGATTTCAGTTTGCCTTCAACCTAAATTTCTTGTGTAACTTTAACTGTTTCCCTGTGATAAACCAGGAGAGTTTTAATTGATCCAATCTACAATACAAGGTTTTTACCAGGTTTTTCCCGTTAAACATGAAAGCCGCATCACAATGATATACGAACTACAGATAAAACATCATACAATGCTCCAGATCCTTGGTAAGGTATTGTTTTACCACATTCTTCTGTCGTATTGTGGGATTTCTTTTGGTATTGACCAATTTGCAGTAAATATATCATATATATATGATTTACATAAATTTATATAAAAAAAAATATTAACATTTAAAATTGAATGGCACCTCTATTGGCAAAAAAATGGATAAAGGTGTAATTCCTTATGAGCAGTCATGAAAAACTATGAAAATATTCTGAAACAAAATCCATGACATGTATTTTGTGAATAAAACGGCAATCCAATGATCATGATCAGTCAAAATTTACCTTGTTAGCAAAATATACATGTAAAACACTTAAAAACAGTCAAACTTGATGCTGAAATCACAATACTAATCTGTAAAACAAAAGAAATATCAGAAACACTATTGAACATTATAAAAAAAGTTCCTGTCAATCAAGAATTTAATTTTTGTATCTTTTAACATGTAACTTCATTAAACCATATATATAGCCAGTATATATATGTTTGTATACACAACAGGAAAGGAACATTGCAATGGCCAGACAGGGATTTGAACCCATGACCCCTGAACTCTGGGCGGAGGCTCTAGCCTGGTCAACGACAATTGAATCTGTCTAGTTCCTTTACAACAACTATTCTAAGAACAAGTACACAAGCACCATATCATACAAAACATTTTGCGGTAGATCTAAATCTTTAACATGGCACTAGCTATACCTCGGTTAATTAGGAATTCTACATATTGCATACAGGGCTGTTCTCACTGTAAAGTTCAACAAAAGATATATAAATGAGCAATTCAAAAATCTCTCCCAAACATCAATCAATGTGTATATTCTTTTCTTCGTAAGTATGAAGGAGAACACATAACAAAATCAGGGTTGTTTTATACAGGGCTAAAGCTACAATGTATGGTAAAGCATCCCTACAAAGACACTGTCACTAGACTTTCTTCTTATCATCTGTAAACATTTCCACAATAAAACATCCAAATAAGCACAAACAAAAATTTAATTTCTCAGAAGTATGTCATGAATGCAAGTGTATGCAATCTAGATTCTCACAGACCATAATTAAAGCTATAGAAATCAATATATGCACCCCACATAGGTTATATAATGACAGAATTAAGGGGGCATCATTCTTCAAAACGCTGGACTTATGAGTTTGTGTTTCGACCATTTCTACTGTAAATATAATACATGTATTGTATACATTATAACAAACTTTGACTTTCAGATGGATTTTTTTTTCTAGAAATGCTTGAACAGCTAAAACAGTTAAATATTGACATGATTTTTGATAAAGTTTTTAGAAAATGTATATCTGCAGTATGATTCAAACATGTAGAACAATCAATGATGGTATATATACATGTACCTGAACTTATGTGTAGGTAAGTACATATATACCTGTTACTCAAGCAATGTCAGAATCAAATCATTTCTCACAGACAGTTAGGTAACATATAGGGAGGAGCACTTCTGGTGAAAACCAGTTAACACCACTTTTATTTGGGGCTGTTCATCTTACCCCCCAGTTTGAAATACATGTATCAGGCCATTCAGTAGGTTCCATCATTTCCATCAACCTAGCTATTAGGCACACAAAGTGGAAAATCACCCGCCAATTTTTGAATAAGTACTTTACATGTGATACGTCCATACATCAAGCAACAGTTAATATCAACACTATAATTTAGTGAAGAGTAATGACAAGACAGCGTAGAACTAACGACAAACCTATACAATCAACACTACATAAACAGTACATGTAGCACTATATAATATATAAAGTACAGTCAATAATATTCATTTCATATTCATCAGTGAAATATGGGAAATTATCAATTGGAAAAAAGGTTAAAATTACGTAACGACACAATTGATATCAGGTTTTTATTCAAACCTTGCCCGATAAAAGCAGTGATCAGTAAAACTGTGTTGTGTTACCCATTCAAAACGGCGCAAAACCAAGTGTGACAGCATTAGAACCTGACGTCAAATATAACACTACTCATTCCCGAACCTTTTTTGATGGACCAATATTTTTGTCATTTTCCTTACAAAAAAAATACAAAATAGAAAATTTAATGGTTTTCCTGCTGAATTCTTCATATTTGTTACTTCGATGGTAGAATTAAGATATATGAACAGATGCCATGCTCATGATATACATAGGCCTAGGGTACTCAACAGAGTACAGTAGAGGTACATAGATGCCCAGTATATAACATAGACACACTTACAACTGGGACATATTTATAGAAAGTTACAATTGTTCAGTTGAATGATGATACTTAATTTGATGCCAACTGGTCAAATTGCAACAAGCCCTTTAAAAATCAGATCAAAACATGTTTAACCTATGTTTCTTAAACAAGAGTCAAATAAAGAAGTTTTCAAGATGGATTATTTTAGAACAACTCTGATGTTTATGTATATTGTAAGAATAAAAGACACTGGCCTAAAAGTTGTTTCTTGAAAAATGAGCGTGCACCAGGGACCTGGCACTGAAGAAAAATTACATTCCGGAGCCAGTGGGCATGGTGGGATAAGTTAACACCAGAATTGGCTAATGGCTTACTCTTCATATACAGTACATGTATAATAGTAATTCGGCAAGTCTTAATTTGTTACATGTATATGGCAGAATATTAAGTTATCACTTTAAAACAATTATATCCCTTTGTGTTATAAATACCTTATAATATGGCATCATGAATGTGGTTTTCTTTTGCAAAATGATAATTCTTTAACTTTACATCAATTATAAACTTGTTGCAACTCCTTCTAGTCAATGACTAGTAAATGGAGGATGGTTAAGAAGCTACATGACAAAGGATTAAAACCAGGGCACAATTGTTTAAAGGCTGACTAGCTTCAAGACAAGTCAACAGAAAAGTTTTAAGTCGAGAATCTTAAAAAATACTGAAATCCGTAACTAAAATTACATGTACCATATATAGGTACAGTTTCAAGATGATCGTCTTATGACAAAAAGCACAGAAATATTTGTGAGTTTCCAGATATTTCTCAAAAATCACATCTTGAATATTTGTGTTAACGACTTATTGTACTAGTAATCTGACTCTGAAGAACTGGGCCCTAAACTTGCCTACAGCGGCAGTGTAAACAGCACAGGATCTCATTCAATGAGATAATATACAGATAAATACATAACACAAGAGTTTTTAAAAATATAACTGCCACTGTTTTTGTGTTGTATAGCAACAACATGATAGCACATACACAGCTTCCCATTTGATGAGAACATTATACAGATAAGTGAAGCCACAGACAGGTGTGGGCGCCACTTGCTTGTTTTTAAAAGTAGTTACTGTCAGTAGTGATGGCCCCTCATTATATGAGAGTAAAAACCATATTTGTTGCCACAATGTTTGCCACAGACATTACAGACAAAAGGATCTGTGTGACTGTGGCATCCGATGTGAATGGAGAATAGAACCTCATCATCAAACGTGATACCACAATGATTACACCTGTTTTCTGTGAGCTGAAAGTTTTGTTGTTCTGTGAAGTTGGACTCTCCCCCGGGAAGTGAGCGAGATCTTTGATTCATACACCGACCTGAAGTCATGATCTCGCACTGCACACCACGCTCAACACAGCTTGCTGACAAAGTCTGTGGGGTATCACTGACAATGCTGGACTCTGTTTTGATTATTGGTATAGAGCACTGAATGCCCACACTTGACATCTCCATTTTTACGGTGGTGTTGACTGTGTCGTCCACACTGGCTGTAGCCCTCAACTCTATACTGGACCGGTCTCCTCTTTGAGAGGGGCCAGAACCAGCAGACAAGGTTTGCCTTATTTCAGCAGTAGTTGCCACCTCATTACATTCCATGACCATGCCACCGTCTTCCACTTCCGAATAACTCCGAGAGAAAGGATGCATATCCAAGCGGCGTTCTTGATCTGATAAAAATTGATGTCGTCGGGGAGGAGCAGTACTGGACACATCGGCTGTCTCTGGAGTGTCTGGGTGATCAGGAGGCTCGACCTTAACCTTGACATGACCTTGCATTGTCTGCATGCCCACTTGTATGGGAGAATGTGCAACACGCATGTGTTGTTGTTGCTGCTGCTGTTGTTGTTGCTGCTGCTGCTGTGTGGGGTCAGCTGCCATGTAAAAGCCTGAGGATGATATGGTGCTGCTTGGAGTTGACATGGAGACGGTCTGAGGATTGTTCATGATAGATGATACGATGGATCGAAGGTAGTTGGATGCCATGTGAGATTCATCAGCGGCTTGTCTAACAGGGGCAGCATAGCCTGGGTATTGTCCCAAACACTGGCCTTGTATGGGCTGGGCAGGTTGATGAGCATAGTGCACTGGTGTAGAGTGAATTCCTCTTAGAAGAGAGTGAAGGGCTGTGGTTGCAGCCATGCTTTGAGGGGCGGTAGACGTGGGGATATGGCTGGGATTTAGGTCAACATGACCTAATCTGTATTTGTATTGAGCAGTATCATAGCCAGACGGTCTGTACGGATTGGTCTGAAATTGGTAGTTAGGGCCTATTTGTTCATTGTGTACTTGACTGTAGTGCTCACGGAACTTACGGGGAAGTATTGTGGAGTAGGTACACTTCTCACACTTGAGCACACTGACAGGATTGTTCCCAATGTGTAGTCTTCTGTGTCTGCGAAAGTTGCTTTTGTCATTGGTAGAGTAATCACATAGAGGACATTTCAGTGCCTTCACACCTGAAATTAAACAAAATCATATATCGGTAAGGGTGATGTCTCAGGTGATTCTCTTTTAAGCCTTGTTTACATATATGGGTAATGTCATTGATCTCCAATGGGGTCTACAACTAGCACCTGATTTTAATATGGGAAATAATATATTTCGGTGAAATATATATATACCGGTATATGTATAACAGATATATGAACTAATTCAGTTGAATATTCCTATGTTCCTTAATGTCGATTGTATATGAAAGTTGACTGGAATCTATTGTGAAATACAGATGTTATTAATGATGAAAAACCTTTTCTATTAAGTGAAACAGTGACCTTGAGTTTGGTACCCTGAACCACTAACGCAACGGAATGATATAATTAACTTTTATCAAAACCTACTGAAAGAAAGACCTGCTGAAGTGAAGATATTTAACTGGTTGATGATTTACATATGTAGCAACAATGGTTATGTCCTTGACTTTTGAACCTTCAAATAAGAACTTGTCTAAGATAAACCGATGTACATACTCTTGTACAAATCTCACAGTATATCATCAAAAATTGCTTGTCAGTAAAGGCATGTCTCATTTGGGATTGCAGTTATATTTTGGTAGAATTTTACTAGTATAATTATATAAAGGTGTGCTGGATTATATTTCACAACAAATTTTAAAAATTAGATACACTTTAGAAATAGATACACTTTACATATTTTATGTACCTCCATGTCTTGGCATGTGAAGCTGTAGTTGTGTATATGTTGTTGCTGTGAAGCTACAAAGGCGACATTTATACGTCTTGTACTGTGCCTTTGCCCCATTGTCATAGGCTGCCATTTCAGGGGAGGAGTCGGGCAGGGTGTAGGTGGCATCCTCACCATGGTCTGTTGTGTCAATGTTAATGGGTTCATACTTCCTGAGGTCATCCAGGTCACCGGTCATTATGTAGGAGCTGCCATCTTCACTGTGTGAGAATTCACGATCAGACATCATGATTGGGGGTGGGGAGGAACTATGGGTGGACAGGGATAGGGAGGGAGACGTGGCAAAACGTGAAGGGAGTGGGGACTGATGAGGGGACCGAGAAACTGGCTGCCGCTCCACAGCAATCAAAGGGTCAGAATGACGCCGTATTTGAGGGGGAACCGCAGCCATTGCGGATGTAGAAGTTGCCATGTAGTGTCCATTGACATTGTCAGTAAGGGAGACATGGGGGTCATCAATGTTTGTAACGTCAATATCAGAGTTACCAGTTGACACATCCCTAGACATCATTGCACTGGCCATGATGAGATGAGAAATGGCATTATTTTCAGTGGATGTATGCATACTTTCTTCATTTTGCATTTTATGTTCTTCTTCCGGATCTCCATCCATCACGTCAGTTTGAAATCTGAAAATTTAGATTACTTCAATCAAAAATATACCAATAGACAAAGTCATTAACACTTATTCATGCTAAAATAGCAGTTAAAAATAACAAATAATCAATTAACCTACCACTTGCTTAGATAAAAAAAGGCGGTAAAACACATTGGGAATACAGCTTATATTCATTCTATAGGCAGGAAAAACACTAAGGCCTTCATACTTTGAAATCCAGCTCATGGTATATCATTAGTGAGAAGTAAAGGAATTCGGAGTTCCAATATAATGAATGATGATCAGGAGATTCAAATTTTTCAAATATTATTTTTACTTTTTTATATGATACATTGAAAGATCCTGAATTATTTTACCAACATTGATCTTCCAATAAACCAAATATTGTAATGTTGACAATAAATACAATGTTTATTGTACAGTAAACAATTCAATATATCATATTTTATATCGTATTGCAGACAATATTAAAACAATAATTATATCATGACATTTTGTACTATAGATAATGCATTTTCCTGTTTTTATCCTATTTTCAAAAGAAAATCGTTTTTGTGAACGAGAAATGGTGATCACTAGACCTCAGTGATATACTCTTACTTCTTAATTCAAATATTATCATAAACACTGTTATTAAATTATACTATATTGTTACTTTATATGCAGTCTGAGAGTTTGGTCGGTAGGGATTCACCCAACCATCAGTCCTCTTCTGAAAGTAGCAATTAATTTAAATAAACTTGTTAAAATTTGTCAATTGAATTATTCAAAGGCATTATACTTCTGACTTGAATCCTATTTACATTCCGATTTTTTTATGTTGTGTCATAATGTCAATTTCTATTACTTTATGCAGTATGAGAATTTGGTCAGTAGGGACTGGCCCAACCACCAACAGCCCTTTTTGCAAGAAACAAACAGATTTTAATAAAATTCAATCGGTTTAAATGTATCGTTTGTATCAGATTTTAAATATTCCGAAAGGGATACATTGTTACTATCTTATTTATTTCAAAATATTTTTATTAATGTAAGTTATATACAATTACATGCCAATTACATTACAGGTCGTTTGGTCGGTAGGGATTGGCCCAACCACCAGCCCTTTGGCAAGTAACATTTTATGTTAATACTATATATCTTTAATTGTTAAATTCCAATATATATCATTTACTTATTTATATCATTCAATTACCAGCATTATTTTATTGATTATAGCCTATGGCACATGTCATATTATACGTCTCCTTATATATCTGGTATAGGGCATGAAGCAGAGCTTGTTAGGTAGGCCATGGTATCAGATACGAGACAAAATAGTTTTGTTTGGGGGGGGGGAGGGTTCGTAACATTTTATATCTATTTTTATAAAAGACTATGTCTTAGAGCCTTATCAAATTATCTATACTATCATACATTTATGTGACTATTTAATGAATTGAATTGATTTATTTAGATCTAAGGGACCCCATTGGAATTGAGTCACAGTGCGGCTTTATATAACTATGGGTCATACTCGGTAAAGGCCTAAATTAATCTAATCCAATCCAGTTTTAACACCTGACTGCTTACTAGTTTTATGGCATAAATAACAGAAAAAATACATTTTTGTGATAATAAAATGTGTTATACGTGTATTATCTGCCTTTTACCCGAACAAATATTATTATTATTTGTCAACTTGTAAGCAAACTGGTCATATTGAACAATGTCTATCACTCTATGCGATTAACGAGTGCAGTGTGAAGAAGGGGAAGAGGACAAACGTTTACTCTTTTCTAATCGGAACAACAGCTGAGAGAAGGAAGTGATACCGTACGCGATGATTATGTAGTGAGAAATCACGTATACTGTGTAAGGACATAAAATAAAATATGTATATGCACTGCAGATATCGAGAGAGATCAAGATCAAGAGAGACAAAATGATGGTCTCATCAGACATTGAAAATAACGACTTTGCATTTGGAACGTATCCGTTAAACTCAAGAAACCTTATTTATTCAACTGTATGCCATATGATTTTTTGAATCTAAATACCAATTATAAACGGCAGTAAATCCAGAGAGATTCCATCAGTGATTCAAAATGGTAAAATTTGTATCTTGATTCGTAGAATTTCCTTGTATCGTCGGCCATTTTGACAAATGGAGTGTTTATCTATCTTCTCATCTGAAGAGTTTTGTGCGGAATTCTGAGTTAGTTCCCTTTATTATTTCGGCTTATTTGGACCTAAACTCGGGTGTTCAGCGTAATTTGACATTTTTAGGCGATCTAAACCCCATGTTTTACATATTGTAAATGTGTTTTATACAACGTATATAGAGCTGACAGTGGAAAAATATATTTCATAATGTCTGTTTTTATGTGTATGTGATTTGCTTCAATGTTTTATGCTAATAGTAATATGTAGTTTATGGTAAAATTACTGTCCTGCTATGTATGCATGTATATATATACAGTCGAACCTCGTTATCTCGAAGTCGACGGGATAGTTGGGAAACTTCGAGTTATCCGAGTATCCGAGTTAATTTTTTAGATTTCAGATTTTCAGATTTTATTTCCAACACTCACACACATGAAAATGTGTAACATGAGGTACATGTACATGAGTTCATATATTAAATTATGACAGGATGGACAGGTGCATGCATGTATATGAAGATACTGATATATATATGATAACATGTTGTACAAATGAACTATTTCGTAATTACACACAGCAATGCATCCATATATGTAGATAGCCACGCTTATATCCAGACCTTTGCATATACATAGATATATGCACATCCATACACATTCAATGCATACCAACAAACAGACGCCTACGTATATACGCGCATACACACATATATTCACAAACATATGACTACATCCCAGATACATATACACACACACGTACATATGCATACATTTCCGTATACAAAATACTCACATAGTCACCTACTTTACATATTGATTTGTACATATCAGTGATATAGACCCATAATGTGCTTCAATATTATGGACCTATAGAAGCAACAAGTAAAAGTATATGTATAATGTTTATGTTTTAGCTTAAAGTAAAGGAATCAATTTCTTTAGGAAAATTGATAATCCTTTCAGAATTTGTTCGTGACATATTGACAAAAGACCTTTCATTTTATTTTCATTTGGATTTGTACGATAGTAATTTGGAACGTATTTTCTTTGTAAATTACTTCCACATTACTACAAGTAAAAAGATAATGAAATTCATTTCCAATATTTTCAAGGCAAAGGTTACATATCCTATCTACTTTTTGAATATTCTGCCACCTCCAAGTTTCAATGGGACATTTCAAATTACACGTACGTAGTTTGGTAATAGGTAATCTATTATTTTCTGACCATTTTTTATCAAATATTTTTCAAAACCGAATTCACACTGAACATTGAGTAGAATTCTCCTCTCGACGAATTATGAACTTCGGAAAACCAATTTTGTATAAATTGATCTCGAAGTCTTTGTTTAAGGTGATTTTTAAAGAACATATTATTCATACATATCTTATTTTCAAAAATGTATGAAAAAACCAGATTCATCAAAAATACTTTTAACTTTACTAACACATCGAAAAGAATATGATTCAGTGTCGTGTAAACTAAGTGCCAATCTCAACAATATACTGCTGAGTTTACTTTCATTACGCGTATCGATTAAATTATTCCAGAAACGTGCCATTCTAAGTTTAATATTTATTTCCATTGGGAACCGACCGATTTCTCCATATACCATAAAAGTAGAAGTGCTAGATCTGATTTTTAAAATTCTCTTACAGAATTTCAGGTGCGTCTGCTCTAGCGTTTTCAAATTTTCAAAACCCCACACTTCTGAGCCGTATAGTAATATTGGCTCTACAACAGAATCAAAAAGCTTAATTTGTATGTCCATCGGAAGCGCATGATTCCGATTTTTTTTGTATAAAGTGCAAATAATTATTTTTGAGCTTGATCAATCAGTTTTTTTCGCGCTTTAGCGAAATTTCCATTATAGTTAAATATGATACCTAAGTATGTGAAACAATCAACAATCTCAATTACGTCTCTGAGAAAGAAGACATGATTTTGGTTACTTTTCCGCTTGCAGAATATCATAATTTTAGTTTTATCAGTATTTACTTTCAATTTCCATTTATCGCAATATTCTTGAAAAATATTCAATGCATTTTGTAATCCTTCTGGAGTTTCCGAAAAAAGAAGTGTATCGTCTGCATATAGCATGACAAAAATTTCAATTAAAATATGCAGTTCATCAGATGTTTTTTCTTTCACCATTTCTAGTGGAACACATTCAAGGGATTTAAAAAACGTTTCTAAATCGTTTAAGAACAAAGAGAAAAGGAACGATGAAAGATTTTCCCCCTGCCTTACCCCAATAAGGCACGGGAAGAAATTTGACGTATTTCCATTGTATTGTACACATGATTTGACATTACCATACATATTTTTAACAATCTGAAAACATTTTCCTTTGATACGACTATTATGCAATTTTTGCCCCAACCCAGCTCTCCACACGGTGTCAAACGCTTTGCGAAAATCGATAAAAGTACAGTAAAGTTTTTTACCGCTGTTAAGATAGAGTGAAATTAATATATGTAAAATAAAAACATTATCAGCAGTCGAGTGTCCCTTTCGGAACCCCGCTTGATTCCTAGATATCAAGTTCTTCTGTTTTTCAAAGTGGTTCAAGCGATTGTTTATGATAGATGTAAATTACTTACCCAAACAACTTATGAGCGTGATGGCCCTATAATTGTCAGGATCTTCTGGATTACCTTTATTTTTGTACATCGGTTTAATTATACCGATAGTCCAGTTTTCTGGTATAATACGAGTATCTAATATAACATTAAACAAGGTACAATAATTTGTTATCATCTCCGGTGGAGAATATTTTAAATATTCATTTAATATTTTGTCCATTCCAGGAGCCTTACCATTTTGAAGTTGTTTTAATGCTTTTTTAATTTCTTCTTCTGTTATTCTACCATTTAACACATCATCATCATCATCATCATCATCTACACAAATATCATCATCTACACAAATATCATCATCTACACAAATATCCTCCTCCTCCTCCTCCTCCTCATCATCATCCACACAAATATCCTCCTCCTCCTCATCATCCTTTGCATTCAATGACATAAAATAACGATACAATGTATCTATTGGTATATCTGTAGTTTTCTTTTTATTTGAAGAATATTTATTTATGGTATTCAAAAATGATTTTGGATTAGATTTTGATAACGAGCGAAGCTCTTTAATACATCTTTCTTGATATTTTTTATAACTTATTCGATGTTGTTTCCTGTATTCACTACCTTTTTTGTTCATATTTGTTTTAGTATAGCATGATTTGTCTGTTTTATATTTATTCTTGATCTTGTTGAAGGCATTTTTTTTTTAACTTACAATATTTATCGAACCATGGTTATTCCTATCTACTTTTCCTTTACGTCTTTTTTGTTGTGTTCCACACACTTTAGATGCCGTTTTAATAAGAAATTGGCCAAGGTCATTAACCACCACGTTCATTTGTTCACAGTTTACATTATCACCATCATTTATGTGGTCTATAGCTGTGCTAATATCGCGGAGTTCAAGATTTACATCTATATTAAGTGCCTGTGTGAATTCATCTTTTTTGGATGTGTCCCATGTTACACGTTTATTATCAAAGTTATCCTCTTTCTTATCTAATGGGGGTTGTGTATCGCATGTTAAGTTTAACACAAAGTGGATTTGATTGTGAACGTCCGAAAACATTGGGTTAAAATCACATATTTCGAATTCTGAAACAAGTTTAAAAGCTGAACTATCTACTATAAGACAATCTACTACACTTGTATATTTACATGTCGTTCTTCCTATGTGTTTATCTTTACATATTCGACCATTTGCAATAAAAAGAGATGATCTTTTACATACTTCAATTAGCAGATTCCCATATCTATTTTGTCGGGCTTTATCTTGACTATATCTTTGAAGGGGGATATTTTGCTCAATAAGTTGATGTACACAGTTCACATTATCAATATCTTCATTCTTATCTACAACATTTAATATATCTAATAGTCTTTCATCAGGTTTAATATAGTGCAGTATTGTCGAGGTTCTTGCGTTAAAATCACCTGCCAGGATAACATTATCCCTTCCTTGTGAAACATTAATTAACTCTTCCGCTATTTCAGTAAAAGCATTATCAGATGAATACTATGTATATTCTGGAGGAATGTAGATACAGCCAAGTAATACATTTTCATTCATGTTCGAAATGTGATTCGAAATTTCAAACCATTGTACAAATTCGGACTCGGACTTATGGAATTTTAAAAACCTCGACAAAACTTGTTTATAAATTACAATAATACCGCCAGACTTTTTTTTTACATTTCTGTCTGTGTTTAGCGGAGTATGCATATCCATTAGGCAAATTTATGTCATCGAGTTCATCAGTTTTAGATTCAACACACAGTAATAAATCGTAATTAGATATCAGATTATGGAAATCTGGATTGAGAAGTTTGGATTTCAGACCACATACATTAAGTAAACCAATTTTGAGTTCAATGTTGAAATTTTGTCGTGGTTTGTTAAGAAACGTGTCTGAGTGGCTGTCCTACAGTGGCCCGTTGCATGTCAGGGACTGGTGCCCCTGTCCTGGGGGATATGCTGGGTCTTGGGGAGGATGCTGTCGAGAATACACTGAAGGACCTGAGTAAACGCTGGCCGAGCCACGCCCGGGGTCCTGGGGGTTCGCGAGCTCCCAACCGGGTGCTCGTGGAGTCGTACGAGATGTATCACTCCCGCGTTCCGACGGAGGACCGCGTTCATGTCCGCGTTCTGGTTGGGGGCCTTGACTACGTTCCTGGGGACCAGCTCCTCCGTTCCAGCTGGTGAGACCCACGTTCGCGTTCCATGGAACGGTGTCGCGTTGATATTGCTGGAGGTCATCGTACGGACGGCCGTCCACGTAGAGGGTGTCGTATGCAATTTTGACGTTCACATGACGACGTTTGAGTTCCTTCATTTTTGGGTACAGAGCGTAACGTCTATCACTTATTTCGGGTGGGTATTGTTGGGATATTGAGAACTCCGGTTTAT